CAGGCCATGAGGGAGTACCATGAACTGGCAGATCGGATTGAAAGAATTGTCTTCTACGGCCATTGAAAGAGGTCTGCCCATCGACACCTGTGCTTGTGGGGCTCACAGCTGCAGGCAGACAACCACCTTAGACCGCAGGCAAAAAGAAAGGACGATGTGGGACAGAGAGAACCAAGAGAAAACCCTGTGCAGCAGCACTCTGCCATCAGCATTCGCCTCTCAACAGTCTGCCCAGCACAGCATCCAGTCATGACCAGGGGGCTCCTAAGATGACTTTCACCCTCCTTTCCCCTCACACTCTCATGGCCATTGTGGCCATTTGAGATGGGCCCAGGAATTCTTTTTGGCAGCTCCTGCTGCTCAGGGATCGAGCGAGAGGCATGGCTAATATTCCTAAACTCTCTCTCTCCTTGTTCCCTGACGGGACATCAGTCGGTCAGCATTTTGCCAGCTCTGTTGGTTCTGACCTGACATGTTTCAAATAGGAGTCTATATTTTTAATTAATATATAGATTTTTTAGTAATAGAGCATATAAAAATATAGTCCATGTAGGATACACATATTTATTTAGAAGTTAGTTAAATAGTAGTTTTTCAATAGAAATATAGAACAAATAAATCTCTCCCAGTGTCTCCCCATGTGCCCTTAAGGGACACCTTTAGGTCAGCACTGGACCAAGACTATCTTTCCCAGTCTGGGTCTTAGCTGACCTCAAGTTTCTTAGATATAAAGAAACCCTTTTTTAAAATTTTTTAGCTATTTCCTATGTATTTTTTAGGGAAATTTTGATGATATTTTTAGATACATGTAGCACCAATAGGTCTCCCCTTATTTTTCCCGTTACATATTACCTCCCTGTCGTCCCTGCTTTTATGACTGGAAAAGCAGAATATGCTTTCTCCTTTCTTCAATAAAGAGAGCTATTCCAGAAACTGAGCTGTGCAAGTTTGTATGGAACTCAAGCGGGCCCAGAGTCTTGGTAAATCACACCAGCTGTGAGTCTGTGCTCATGAACATTGGCATTGAGCTTGACCAAACCAAGAGTGCTGAATTGGTTCTCCTCCCAAATTTGGCCTCCTGCCACCCAGCCCCTCTGCTCATGGAATCTCAGGCTGGCTCGTGCTGGAAGGGACCTCAAAATTCATCTGGTTCCAACCCCTCTGCCACGGGCAGGGACACCTTGCAGCAGATGTGTTTTCTCCAAGCCCCATCCCACCAGGCCTTCAACACTCCCAGGGTTGGGGCATCCACAGCACCTGGGGTCAACCTGTGCCACTGCCTCACTACCCTGACACTCAAGACTTTCTTCCTGCTATCCAAACCGAGCCTGCCCTCTGAAATCTAAAACCATTTCCCCTTGTCCTCTCACTACGTGCCCTTGTAAGAAGTCTCTCCTTCTCTCTCATATAGGCTCCTTTCAACTGCTGGAAGGCAATTAGGTCACCCCAAAGCCTTCTCTCAACCCAAGCCCAATTCTCTCAGCCTTTGCTCATGGCAAAGATGCCCCATTCTCCTCATTACCTTCCTTCTGTTGGCCACACAGCCCCTGCAGCATTGAGAAAAAGCAATGTCTTGCTTTCTAACACTCAAACTGCAGTGTTAGGGGGTTTTCTTGTCCCAACAATTTGGGAGGATTTTGGTGACAGGAGAAAAGTCTGATGGGAAGCATTGGAGAGAAGTGGGGATTTTTAGCATGGAGAAAAGGAGAGTGAGGGAGGACCTACTGGTCCTCTACAACCACCTGATAGGAAGTGGTAGCCAGTTGAGAGGTGGCTTATTATATCTGGGAACAAGCAATAGGACAAGAGATGCCTCAAATTGCGCCAGGGGAGATTTCGATGGGATCTTGGGAAGAATTCCTTCACTGAGAAGCTTCTCCACTTTAAAAACAGACTAGCCAGGGAATGGCTGAGTCACCATCCTTGGAGGCATTGAAAGGGCCTGTCGATGTGTTATTTGGGTACATGGTTTATTGGTGGAATAGGCAGTGTAAGCTTTGAAGATGGACTAAAGATCATAAGGGTCTTTCCAACTTCCATAATTCATAATTTAATTTAAGCTCAACCAGTGCGGAGTTGGGGGTTGGACTGCAACATCCTTGAAGCTCCCTTGAAACCTGGATATTCCATGTGACTGCCACTGAAGAGGAGATGATAACAAATCGCAAAGAAAGAAAAACGGAACTTCTTGGAAGAAGATTAACTCAAGGGCAGCCTTAACCATTACACCAGGCCCACTCGGAATTGCTGAGCTGGAGTGGAGATGACCAGCAGGGCTGGCCCTGTTGTGATGTGATCTGACTCTTGTGACATCACAGGGGTTGTGTCACAATGGGGGCAGCTCCAGAGGGCCCCAGCAGGTAACGCTGCCCCAGTATAGCCTGGACAATTGGTGAGTACACACGCAGGGCCGAGGCTGGGCTGCACGAGGGCTGGGGCAGAAACTCTGTCCCTGGGAATGGGTTCTCACTCTCTGTGCAGGGGCAATCCCTCACCAGAACACCTTGGGCATACAATGGTGCTGCTGTTCCTGGGGCAGTAGACCTGGCTACCCACCAGCTGCCCTGGGGCCCTCTCCTTCCTGCTCCCACATCCCTGCACCTCCCATCCCTACTCCCCTCACCTTTAGCTCCTTCCCTCCCTTTCATCCACACTCAACTCCTTCTCTCTCTCCTGCAGACCATGGCTTCCAAAGTGTTCCTTTTCATGCTTTTGCAAACCCTCATCCA